TATATTTGCTATTTTGAATAAGAAATCATTATTTTTCTGAAGTATATAAATTTTTGGAAGCCTCCTTTATTTAAAAAAAATTATTTCGTAAAGATTTTCCACCAAATATTTCTGCTATATTTTCTTAAACTTCGTAAGACAAAGAGGGAAAATCACTGAGTCGACCTCCAATATGGCGGCCAACGGGAGGTAACTTTCGCTAAATTCAGGCCTATCGAAAACTATCTATATAAATAGCAAAGAAGAGTTCAAGTGCATTTCTTTTTATAGTATAAAAATTTGACATCACTTGTTGGAACTGTGTTTAATGTTGAAAATTTTTGGTAAATTTCATCAAGTTTATTAAATTAGAGTTGCCAAATTCTTGAATGTTGATAAAAGAGTTGAAATGGCTTTTTTTTCAGAAATGTAGTTTCAGAGAAGTCACATGGTGATGTAGATGAAGTTTCTGATAACATACCACTAAAGCAGAGAAAATTACCAGCATACATCTCTATTAACAAGACAAGTGAGGGTCACAAGGTAGACAACCTTCCACCAGTGGAAACATCAGGACAAAACAAAAGTAAATTATAGTCAATTCTCGAATTATCGCCATTCGATTCATTGCCATTTTTGCAATACCGCCATGCCATTTTTGCAACTGTAGATACCTAAATATACCATGATTTTCCCTAGAATGTTTTTCCTGCTATATAAAATTCCCTTTATAACGCGATAAAAATTTGAATCTACAGTATAAAATTCCCTTTATAACGCCAAATTTGCATACCGTCATCTGCCACCCGTTTTCACAACAAACGTCCAGTTTTAAGTGTCTATTATCACCATATACCACCACAGGTGCTTGTGGTCAGTGAAGCGGGGCTAATTGGTTGATGCTTTCCCTGTTGTAAAGCATGCAAAGCCAGACAAGGTACATGCAATTAAATAATTAAAAACAATAATTTTAACATGAACTCTTATAATTATTTTGTTTTCTGTTCAATAAAAATCATTTAGTCACGGCTTCGCCACGAAAGCTGTCGTAGTTAAAGTATGCCGATAACTCAATGATATCTGCTTTAAACAATGCAAAGTTAGCTTTAAAAATAATTATATGTTATAAATTGTGAACGTTTTATTAACAATGATGCCATAAACAATGAATTTATTCAAGAATTCTTTTTACATACTATCGGCAATTTATCATGACGATCGACCCAGCATGTTTTTTTCTTGCAATATCAGACGTGCAGATTTACATGCATACACATGTAATTGTCTTTATTTTAAAATTGCACATTTGTTTTTAGTGAAATTCTCCTTAAAAAAAGTTACTTGAAGTATTTTCAAATTAAGAAATACATGTATGTTTTTATATACATGTAATAATAAGAATAGAAATGCTAAATGGTATTTCTAAGAACGGTAAATCTACTTCTCGTTTCCTAAAAGATGGGAAATTCAATTTATCGCCAAATTTGTTATACCGCCATGATTTCTAAATCACAAAAGGTGGCAGTTTATCGAGAATTTACTGTATACATCACGACCATGGGTCAATTCCGATATTCATGGCTTCAAACACAAATGTATGAAAAACTTTTTAAATGCCTGTCTACGACGGTATGTACCTGGGTTTTATGGTATGGTGATCATGTCCATCTATCAGTCTGTCTGTCTGTTAGTTTCATGCTTCAGATTTATGCTGCTTTGACCTTTAAAATGCTATTTCAATATTATCTCTTTTGGAGTGCTCTTTTGTTATGGAGGGGGATGTTTCAATGTAAATAGCAGATGGGATAGTTATTTTTACAGGATATTTTTCATCATCGATATGCTAATATCAAACCTGTTCATAAGCTTAAAAATTTCTGAATTTAGTAAAAATGACAAATTTTTACAACCAAAAAAATTCAAAACAAAAAAATACCATTGGATAATACTTATTAGACTAAGGAAGAGACATTGATAAGGTAAGATAAGATAGATAAGATAATTTTTAAAGTCGGGTAAATCAGCAAAACAAAAAACATTAGCTCTAAAGAGCTGTTTTCAGGAGATTGATCTTTGATACAGTGTACCAGGGTAAATACACATACATCTGGTCATTGCATCTCACCTGAATGAAACTGACTTTCCCCCCACTATATTTCAAAGAGGCTATCTATTAATACAATGGCCCAGTAATTTTTTTAATGAATTCTTTGATAATATTTTTAATTTTTTTTCATTGTATGTGTTTGTTGCTATATTTATGCCCACCTTCAAAGAAGGGAGGGCAAATTGCTTTGCTGCTGTCTGTCGGTTGGTCTGTCTGTCGGTCCACCACCAGTTTCCATTCATTTTCTTCGCAGAGGTTGCATTTATTGAAATGAAATTTGGTATTCAGATTTATCTTAAGAACCTCCAGGTCAAGTTCTGTTTTGGGTATGATCACGCCATTTTTGATAGAGTTATGCCCCTTGGACTTAACCAATTTTCTGAGTGCTATATCTTATTAAGATGACACATGGGTGCAAAAGTTTTATCCATATTAACATAAGCTTCCTTTGTGCTCAGTCACAAATTGAATGCCAGCTATTATGGACAGTAGTAAAAAAAAAAATGGGGTAAAAAGAGTAAATATGAACATTTCAATTTTTTTTTCAAATTATCATTTACAATTTGTGTATTTTTAGAATTGAAGATCAAGCCTGAGTTCTGATCCTGAGAACCGTAACATTAAGGCTGCTGTAAGTAAACCAGTAAAGAAGAGTGATACTTAGTCATGTTTTAATTAATTTTACTTTATATTTGTCAGAATTTTAGGTGAAAGAAACCATCAAAGATCCATTGAGATTATTTTATGTATTTGTAAAAAAAACAACAAATAAAATTTATATTATGAACAATATTATGTGTCATGTTTGATTTATTTTTTATTGTCCAAATTCCAAAGGTCTTAAGTGATAACTTATTTAGGTACAACATGGTCACTCAGTGATATTTTCTTGAGACGTAATAAGTGATTAATGCAAGGTTATGTTTAAAATAATGTAAGTTTACCCTTTTCCGACTCCTGGTTAAAAAAGTGGGTCAGTAGGTGTGTTAAATGTATACTGTACATCAGGTTTTCTGAGTATTCTGCAGTCAAAGAACAATTAAAGGTTACATAGGGCCTTTTTGGCCCTGTGAATTTCTGAAAAATTAAAACTGCATAGTTTTAGTCAAGAAGGCAATAACAATCACTCAAACCTTTGATGAACTCTAAACTACTGAAAATGAAATGATTTTCTTGCTAGTCAATTGCAATATTATTCACATAACTTGGTCATTTCTTCAAAAAATGATGCTGTTTTCAGCACATCCTCTGATCCAAAAATTGCAAATGAAAGAACTGCTTGTGAAGATTACAAAAAATATTTCAAGTTTTGGATCAAGGAGTGTGCTCAGATTTTATTTCTTTGCTGAAAGTACTCAAATACACCTATTTTCTGCAAAATTCACGAGCATTGCAATTTTACCCAATCTGTTTTTAGCTCTACTGGTCAGAGACCAGAAGAGCTTATGCGATAGTAATGCGTCCGTCTGTCTGTCTACCTGTCTGTCCGTCCGTCTGTCTGTAAACAATTTTTCAAAACGCTACTCCTCCTACAATTTTAGTCTGATTTCAATATAACTTGGCACACAAGTAGACTACACTAAGATACATAAAATAGTGCATCGGTTTTTGATTTCTATGAACGCTGTTGCCATGGTTACTATAAATAGAATTTTCTGAGGAATTCCTTTAAAACACTACTCCTTCTAAAGTTTTGGTCTGAATTCAATATTACTTGGCACACAAGTAGACTACACTAAGATACATAAAATAGTGCATCGGTTTTTATTAATTTCGATGAACGATGTTGCCATGGTTACTAAAAATAGAATTTTCTGTGAAATTCCTTTAAAATGCTACTCCTTCTACAGTTTTAGTCTCATTTCAGTATCACTTGGCACACAAGTAGACTACACTAAGATACATAAAATAGTGCATCGGTTTTTGATTTCGATGAGCAGTGTTGCAGTGGTTACTAAAAAATAGAATTTTCTGAGAAATTCCTTTAAAACGCTGTAAGTAAACCTTAAAGAGGAGTTTTAGTCCTGTTTTAATTAATTTTACTTGGCATATTTGTCAGAATTTTACACTAAGATACATAAAATAGTGCATCGGTTTTTGATTTCGATGAACGATAAATATATATGGTTACTAAAAATAGAATTTTCTGTGAAATTCCTTTAAAATGCTACTCCTTCTACAGTTTTAGTCTCATTTCAATATCACTTGGCACACAAGTGGACTACACTAAGATACATAAAATAGTGCATCGGTTTTTGATTTCGATGAGCAGTGTTGCAATGGTAACTAAAAATAGAATTTTCTGAGAAATTCCTTTAAAACGCTACTCCTTATACAGTTGTGGTCTCATTTCATTATCACTTGGCACACAAGTAAACTACACTAATTTACATATAATAGTGCATCGGTTTTTGATTTCAATGAACGGTGTTGCCATGGTTACTTAAAGTAGAATTTTCTGTGGAATTTCTTTAAAATGCTACTCCTTCTATAGTTTTGGTGTGATTTCAATATAACTTATCACACAAGTAGACTACACTAAGATACATAATTCTATTCATCAGTTTTTGATCAGTACAAACCAGTAGAGCTACAGTCTCGACAGAGACTTCTGGTTGAATACCTGGAATCTTTAGAGGAAACTTTCTCATACAAAAATAAAGCATTAAGTCTCTTCTAAATATTGATGTTGAAAATGAGCCTTGGGAGTTGGTCAATAAATGTATATCTACAGGGCCATTTAATGGAAAAATTTGACCTAGCTCTTTAGTGTAAATAAAACATCAAACATGGCAATAGTATATGACCCAACAATAGGTTGTGGTGGTAACAAATAAGATTATTAAATGACAGTAAAATTTGAAAAGAGCTATGGTTAAGAATAGGGCTGTTAAGATACTTGTAACATCAACTTATTTTTCAGTAGCTTGCTTTAGTTAAAAAAAATGTTCAGAGAATTTACTTACCCTGTACATATCAAACTGGTTTGGAGACATATAAACACCATACTGGTGATATTGAAATATTACTTTAAACTATGTCAATAAGGGGAATTTAGGATGGAAGAGTTAAAGCAAGGGACTATAAAAACAATACTACATCAATCAGTTGACTTTCAAAGCAATAATCAATAGATCAATCATCTGTTTCTTCATTGGAAAGTTATAGACAGGACAAAGATTATACATTTGTTTTACAGTGACATTGAATTTGTGCAAACCACCTGGGATTCAGGGTTTAAACACATTTTCATATCAATCTTTGTGTCCATTGGGTACTTCAAAAATCAAGATGCAGCTTCTATATACATGTAATTGTCCAGGCAACTATGCTTGGAAGAATTTACGCATGGCTGATCAAAAATGCAAAATGTTTTTTTTTCTTTTTTAATTTTAATGAGCTGTAGATCTTATATGCCCCCCCCCCCTTTACCAGATTTACTTACACGGGAAATTGAGTAACATCTTAGGCCCTAGTAAATAATATTGTTCTTTTATGTCCCTTACTTCTTTGAAATGATACTCTAAACAATTCCAAAGCTACTGCATCCTTTGATTTGAAATGATTTACAATAACACCCCCCCCCAAAAAAAAAAAAATACTTAGGAAAAATTATCAAGAATTTGACACACTTGTGTTTGTTTGTTTTTATCTGTATTTTCTTGATATCCAAACCATAAGAGGACATAAAATCAAAAAAAAAAAATTGATTGTGGCCTTATGATCTAAAAATTATATATAGCGAAAGATCGCCGGAATCTGCTTTCGAATTTAAATATATTATTAAATTTCCATTTCTCATTTTTTTTCTCTCTGTGATAACTCTTTGAAAGTTAGCGGAGTTTATTTCTTGATAATTCCACTAGAATGTAAATTAGGCAGGTCAATAGGTCAGGAGCTAAGGAGGTCTAATATGCATGCAAATCTTGCACAGCTGTCTCTGTGTCTGACGCTAAGGAGTCTAAATATGCATGTAAATCTCGTGCGGCTGCCTAAATATGTTTGGCGTCAGTGGGCAAGGACTACTGAAATTGGCATTGGAGTCCTCGTGTAATTTAAATCTATGTCCACAATTTTTAAGTCTAAATCTACAAATTTTATTTCACAATGAAATGGAAATATAAGGAATCACTGTTTAGTTAGTATGGTATGTTAGGGACATCAACGATAGTGGGAAACGTAGAATAATTTGCATAACGGGCGAATCTATGTCCACAATTTTTAAGTCTAAATCTACAAATTTTATTTCACAATGAAATGGAAATATAAGGAATCACTGTCTAGTTAGTATGGTATGTTAGGGACATCAACGATAGTGGGAAACATGGGATAATTTATGCATAACGGGCGAAGCCCACTATCGTTGATGTCCCTAACATACCATACTAACTAGACAGTGATTCCTTACGTAACCATGGTTACTTATATTATAAAATATGTTCTGTCCCCCTTACTCTCTCCACTTCACAAAAAAAGAAAGAAATATTAATAATAAAACTAGCACATTGACTGAATTGTAGTTCCCCGCTTTCGGTGTCTTTGTGGGTAAGATGTCGTTATTTGTTGGGCTGAAGAGAGTTGCAGATTTTGTCCTTGCCTATTCCTACTTCTTCCCTCTTCTGGAAAAAAGTTACGGTGCATTTCTTTATATATTAATTTATTGTCCCCCGCTTTCGCGTAAGCGGGAGGACATTAAATCTCATTCGTCTGTCCGTCTGTCACAAAAACATTAACCTTGGACGTATCGTTTGAATGAGAAGGAATACGACTTTCATTTTACATAAGTGTATTATCTGTGACAAGACCTTTCTAAATGCCGTATGATTTTTGATCCTATTACCTTGACTTTGGAGTTTGCCCAATTTTCAAAAATATAAACATTACTTTAAATTGGCCAAAACTTATAGGGCTTTCATACTAAACTTGTGTATTACCTATGACAATACCTTTCTAAATACACTATTATTTTTTACCCCGTGAC